ATATATCTGACACATGTCAATCAATCTCAGAAATTTTTACATTGTATCAATTGAGGTGACCATATGCCTAGAAACATGGCAATTTGGCGTATTTGGCACGATTTTAGGAATCGTGTATAAGAAAGGTCAAGGGACCAAAATATGACTAAATATGTTTATGGCGATGAATTTAACTTATTTCTGGATAGGGATAGATGTGTAGAAAATAGAGGTGCAAGGAAAGTGGTGAAAACCTTTTTGTAACAAGTGGAATGTGAAAAAGATTAACTTTTTGATGTATTTCTGAGGTCATAGCCTTGTCATTTTGACGCAAAAAAGCTACTTAAAGGAGGGCACGTCACTTTTAAAAGACATCATAAAAATATACGTAAATTTCATCCAAAATATTTGAGAGTTGGTGAGTTAACATAACTTTGGATGATCTTTCCAATGGTATATCACACTAGGTACCTTCTGTTAAGGTTTTAGCTGTAGCAGGGGGGATGGGACTTATTTGACACCCTGTATACTAATATATCTTAATCCTGTAGCCTCAATATTATTCCCTTTCAAAGTTGCTTGTGAGCACATAGTAATGTTTTAAGTCAAACAACTACTTATGTGCCATCTTTAAATAATGAGCGTAACTATTTCATATTTTCGTTCTTTAACCGTTACATATACTTATATCTGTAATGTTTTATGGGGCCTACTGAAGCTATGCGTTTATACTATAGCAAACAAGAGATCATTAAAAAAATGAAGGCTCGTGTGAAGGAGATGTTTGCAGTGTTGTAATGAATTGTATTGAGTTGTAAAGCAGGTGTTCCTTAAAGAAGAGTGTTTTCTAAGTCAAGTTTCACTGTATAAGTAAATTCCCAAGCTTACAGGGTGTCCAATAAATAAGGTGAAAGATATTGTAACTTTCTTAATATTGCACCAACCTTGATGAAATTTTCAGAGTTTGTAGCCCAAACCTTTTTACCTTTATTCTGTGAATTTAAAGCTTCTTCTATTTGATTGGCCGGAGTTGTGGTTGCTATAGCAACCGAAACAACAAAAAGGCGGGGCAAGTTTGTTTACGTCACAACTTTTCAAAACATATTATTTTTTCTGATATGTTTATTCATACTCCCAGGTCTATTAAAACACCCCTAAAGTCCCATTGTTATGAAAATAAGCTATTCAACATAATGTCCATCTCTAGCTATACACTTCTTATGCCTATTCACCCACTCTCTAAACACACTTTCAAACCCATTCTTGCCCATTTCCTGAAGTCTTGCTAAGACATTTGATCTGAGTTCACACACAGCTATGCTCACTAGTGAAACAATTAGGGCACTGGGGCAACCCCTACTTGCACACCCTCCATATTCCCCATACATGTACCTTGCACCCAATGACTTTTACCTATATGCAGAACTCAAACGTGACTTGAGAGGAAATAAATTTGGAAGCACTGATGAACTCAGATCACATGTCTTAGCAAGACTTCAGGAAATGGGTGAGAATGGGTTTGAAAGTGTGTTTAGAGAGTGGATGAAAAGGCATAAGACATATAAGAAGTGTATAGCTAGATATGGACATTATGTTGTGCTATACATTATGTTATGCTTATTTTCATAACAATGGGACTTTAGGACTGTTTTTATATTGTATTTGTTGTATCTGTGGTAGTAATAGACCTACCCTTTGCATTCGTTTGACTTCACTTCTTAAAAGAGAGCTTCGTCTTCACTCTTTCAAACTAAAATAAACCTGTGAACTCACCGCGCCAATCAGTGTTTGTCGGCAAAATTTGACCGACGTTCTATATATGGTAATTCCTTCTGACATCATCGTTGAGCCCAATGACATGCGCCTATTTAATAAGAACGCTTTTGGCGTATGTTTCTTCAAGCTCGCTGATTGGTGGAAGAAAGGTCAGCGCGTAGGTCAAAAGTGATTTATTACCCAAACTGTCACCGGTACCCGTCGTGGGGGCGGTGCTACTAAACTGTAATATGGTCTCTACTAGGCAGAGTGTAGTTTAACTAGACTCTGCACGCAGGGTATAATAGACCTGGGAGTATGAATAAAGTTATCAGAAAGAATAAATATGTTTTGGAAAGTTGTGACGTAAACAAACTTGCCCCGCCTTTTTGCTGTTTCAGTTGCTATAGCAACCACAACTCTGGCCAATCAGATAGAAGACACTTTAAATTCACAGAATAAAGGTAAAAAGGATCGGGCTACAAACTCTGAAAATTTCATCAAGATTGATGCAATATTAAGAAAGTTACAATATCTTTCACCTTATTTATTGGACACCCTGTACTTTTAATGCGATTGTAATTTACCGAACGGCAAAAGTAGAAATATCCGAACATTTTGAACTGATTAAGATCTTTAAATTGTAAAGGTCTGAGTACCTGGACCTCTTAGAAAACATCCAAACATATCAAAAAGTGAAGATGGGTCAATTTGATTCTTGTTCTCCTAAGATATAAATAAAATAGTTAAATGTTCGGAGTTTTTTTAATGCTGTAAATTGTTCACAATTCTAAATCAAGAAGTCGCTCGTATTTCTGTCGTATTTAGGAAATCATGTTGCCGAAAATCAGTGCAGTTTTCATGGTGCTGTTGTAAAATGTGCGTATATGTCGTTTGAAACCCTCTCTAACGCAATTTTATTATAAACTAACACCTTAGGGTTAAGATTTTGCTCGAGGAATTAACTCATTTTCATCAATTAATATTTACCCATCAGGTTTTCTACTAGTAAACTAACGTTTAAACCTCTGTCCATTGTCGTTATCACGTACTACCAAATCCAAGTGAGATATGGCTCTTGCCTCAGCACGAGCCAATAAGGATGTTACTCTTCAAAAACTAAAAATGAATGACAATATTTTACAGCTGTGAAAAATCTTGAAAGTTTGATTTTACATCCCCTTGAAAGCCCTTACTAAAAATCGAAATACTAAGTTTCAAGAAAGACCACGTTTCAAATTGAAATGTTTCCGCTACCCTTGAGGCCGCCTCGACTTGTGTGACAATCGACAATTCAGTTAAAGGGGACCAACCTTGGAAACAATTTCAGCACAGGTCAATACTTGTACATGTTGGGATCATACGAATGAAGTATGGTTGTCGAGTTAAAGAGACAACTGTATCAACTGAAATAAAGTTATAGATTCTGTCTTCCATATAAAAGATGGCATGACCAAACATCTATACATTTCAAGGTGAAGATTTTCTTCAGCTCTTCGAATCCTCAATTACCCAAATGCGAGTAGGTAGTTACCAGTTTCACCACCAGGTGGCTGATTCGGGTCAATTAACATGGCAAGTATATAAGAAAATTCCCTTAAACTTGAATATAATCAATTTAAGTGGCTTAATTTTAATATAACCCTTATGTGTCTAATACTTATACTTATGAAAATATGTCCAGTAAAGCAAAATATTATCTGTCCACCAAAATAAAAGATATTTCATTTTTTTGTGATTTTATAGCATGGGTTCTATGGGGAATCTCCCCGAGCTAGAAGTCACATTTTCAAAGAAAATTTTTCAAAGTTGATAAACACTTTTTAAAACCACATTTCTAGATGTAATTCTACATGTAGATTTCAAATATGATATTACTTTGACGTAAATCAAGATTATTTCTACTCGCATCTGGGTTATTAAAGGAAGCACAAAAACAAAATATATTAAATATAAAATGGTATATTTGTATCATTATAAACAGCACTTTCTTTTTAATAGTATGTACAATATATGATATCACATACATGGCATTATATAAATATATGGCACTATAGAATATATATATATGCATAATTATATACAAACATTTAAAATACTTTATGGCACATGTTGTTCAAAGTGTATGTTAAATATGATTCAGCAGCTGCTTCAGGTGATTCTATATACATCGAGGTATATTTGTTTATGTAGCCTGATCATAGCATTCAGCAGTCTTAAATATATGTAATTCTTAAATACATTGTAATTCAAAGATATCAACAAAAGCAGTACTAAGTTCAGCTTGTTCACATCAATGTGATATTATGTAACATGTCTAAATGTGTTTAAACATGTGTTTTTAAACAAATTCATTTCTCCAAACGGTACACATCTGTATATGTATGAATGTATACTATAAGGAATGTATAGTTACATGTATATTTGTATTATATACTCGTTTATAACAAGTTTGATATGAATTGAGCCATAGCCGCACTATAAAACAGGATAATGCATATGATTAAGTGTTATGCACGAAATAATGAACATGAAGAATTTCTTCAAATTCATGATTCCATTTAGGTAAGAATACCTTTTTAGTCCAAACCCTTACAATCACAGAGTTTGTTTTAACTAGAATATCACCATGGAAACATTTAGGTAATGAATACCTTTAGACAGAACCCTTTCAATCACAGAGTTTCTAAACTAAAATATCATTATGCGTTACATTTAGGTAATGAATACCTTTAGACAGAACCCTTTCAATCACAGAGTTTCTAAACTAAAATATCATTATGCGTTACATTTAGGTAATGAATACCTTTAGTCAAAACTCTTATAATCACAGAGTTTCTTAACTAGAATATCATTATGCATTACATTTGGGTATTGAATACCTTTAGTCAAAACTCTTATAATCACAGAGTTTCTAAACTAGAATATCATTATGCATTACATTTAGGTAATGAATACCTTTAGTCAAAACCCTTTCAATCACAGAGTTTCTAAACTAGAATATCATTATGCATTACATTTAGGTAATGAATACCTTTAGTCAAAACCCTTTCAATCACAGAGTTTCTAAACTAGAATATCATTATTAGTCTATTTGCATTACATTTAGGTAATGGATACCTTTAGTCAAAACCCTTTCAATCACAGAGTTTCTAAACTAGAATATCATTATGCGTTACATTTAGGTAATGAATACCTTTAGTCCAAACCCTTATAACCACAGAGTTTCTAATCTAGAATATCATTATGCATTACATTTGGGTATTGAATACCTTTAGTCAAAACTCTTAAAATTACAAGTTTCGAAACTAGATTATTATTATGCATTACATGAAGTTAACAAATAAATTCTGTACAAACCAAAATTCGCAGGATCTCTAAACTAAAATTCTTTTTTTTCTGTTTTGGGCATTTGTTTTATTAAAAAATATACAACCTCTAGTTCTGTCAAGACCAAAGCCTAAAGTCTTGAAACTGAACACATCGGGCATATTGGAAATAATGACTGGCGTGGTTGTGATTAAGGGTGAGTGATTAAGTTAAGAGTGTAAATACCCAGATGTTTCCGGATGTGCACCTCGTGACAATTTCCATGATCACACTGCTGTGAAACCCAATATTGGTGGACTGACTACCAGGGGTTTTGTCTAGACTGATTTGTGCTGCCCCAACCTTCGTACGGTGCCACTGAAACGTTCTGGGCATTGGATGTTGAATAATTTGAAAAAGAGATCAGGTTTACAGGGCGTCTCCCCTGGAGTAAAGTCCGGAAATTGAATTTATACGTGTATCTTTTACCGTGAACCTTGTGAAGAATCATCTTGTCGTAGTAGTACCGTAACGCCCGGCTCAGTTTATCAAAGTTCATGTTCGGTTTACGCTTACGGGATCCCCATTTCTGAGCCAGTTCATCGGGCTCAATGACTCGAAATTCTCCATCAGCGCTCTCCCAGACGATCATGGATTTATATTCTTGGTCCGCTAGAAGTTCTAGCAGGAACTGCCATAACTGAATTTGTCCTCCACCTAGATTACAACAAATATACAATAATAACAACAGGTTTTAAAAAAAGATACAAAATAAATGTGTGAGGAAATATAACTTAATAGCTGAAGCTTTTGCGGGGGGGGGGGGCATGTGTAATGTGACTTCTTTTGACATGTGTGCAAGAAAGTTTGATTTCCATTTTATATTTGTTCTAAAAATCCCTACAATGATAAACATTGTACCTCTATACAAGCCTGTATTTTCAAACACAATACATTCTTGGGTATGGGTTCCTTGTGGCTCTTGTGGAATGGGGTAAGTCCCGGGGGGGGGGGGGTAAGTCTAAATTGTACATTTGTCATTGTCGTGATAACTGACCATTTCGCTTTTCACACATTACATTAAACCGAATATATCAGAACCAAAACGTGTTGAACATTTGTTAATTTTTCGAGTAAGTTGGCATTCAATTTGAAAAGTTCAGTTCTATAATAATAGGTGTATATAGTTGATACAACAGGCTATAGAAATATATAGAACTCACCAGTGACTGCTTTCAGGATGATTTGAGCATTAGCAACTATTTGGTTGTATATAACTGGATCTGGAAAAGAAAAAAATGCATATTTTAACGTAAACAGTATACTACTGGTTCATATTGCTTAAATAGTAGCCCTGGTAAGTAACCGAAAAAGGTACATTGAGCGGTGTTTTAGTTAAAAGAAGCTTTCGAGTATAGAGGTATACATCTTTTGTTATGTTTACTGCTATTTCTCAAAATAAATTTTGTATTTTCTCGTTTTTTAGATTTGTTCAGTAAACAGTCGTAAAATTATCGCAGATTTTCACTTCAGTAGTCTTGAAGCATTGTGAGTTTTATGATTCATTAAATAAATAAACATGATTTATTTTGTTTTATTCTCAGAGAACGATTACTACTGAAGACCAGCATTTCCTTTATCTGTGTTTAGGACATGCCTGCTGTTTATAAAATCTTGTGGACTATGACTCATTTTTGTTATTATTCCTCAAGTGGTGTGTTTCATTAGACTATAGAATACCCCATGCAAGCGTGCAGTTGATCATTTTGTATCATTGAGTTGTTGAGTCGGTTATTTCGTCAAATTGTATTTTTATTGATATATAGGACGAAAAATTACTTCAAATTAAGGATAAACTAATTATTGTATTAAGCAACTTAGTAATATTTTGATATGTTTTATCTCTGTAATTCTAAAAATTAAATCATAGAAATTAACTCCATAGTTAAAGTCAATGAACTTTTTAAATACCCCGATTCACGACACTTACAAAAATTGTGTGTGCCGTTGCACTTGACAGCCATAAGTCATTAATATACATTAATTGAATACAACTATTGCACTTTCAATTCTATGAAAACCGACAAAAAATCAGTGCATCAAAATGCGTAATTGTGTGCGGGGGTGTCGACAATAATATTTTATTATAAATCTCAAAAGTGCACCCACTGACACATTAACAATGCATTATGGGATACTATGTTTGTATCGTATATCAAAGAGGACTTGTTGACATGAAGTCACGTGACATATGTGCTTTTATATCATTTGTAAACATTATAGTACTATGACTTGAAAAGATTTATACGATTTAAGGACTCGGTGCAAACATTCAGTTCAAACAAGTTGACTACATATAAAAAGGTAGTTCTAGTATACAATTTTTTGTACTTTTCACGTTCCCTCCTCCTGGTTAAACGAATGTCCATTGCATTATTAAAGATTTAACGTTTACTTAGGAGGAGGGGGGGGGGGGGGGTACACCCGAAAGATTTTGAAAATAGAGCGCAATTTTGGGCAATCTGAGCATTTCCCACAATTAAAATATGAATGGCTGGTTTCTTTTTGAAACAAGTTCTTATTTATTTTCTGGATTTTCTGAGAAATTCTATCACTATAACAGGTGTTTTGTCGTGTTTTTGTAGTGTCCATTCTGGGAATAATCAAAGGGCCATGCTTTAAATGTAGTAGGCTCTTCATGTTTTGAAAAAAATTAGGGGGCAGAGGCGCGCCCCCGACGACACCCCCTAAGATCCACTAGTATCTATGAGACTGCACACTATATACACAGGGTAATTTTAAAAGCAGGTTGAACTTATTTTACGAGAAATAACAAATTGTAATGGTTAAAGTTTCACTTACCATTTACATTGCATTCTGGTTCTGCGACGGTGGGCCTGTGGTCGACGGTTGAGCGAAACTCTAGAGTAGGTTGAGCAGTAAAGTTTGAGCAATTAACGTCAATTCTAGCTGGGGCACTTGCCGTGTCAACCCTATACGAGCCTCCTTGAGATTTCAAAGCCAGGGCTCGATATACGTGTTCTTCGTAGGATGGCGGACGTTTTGTTTTGTTAGGATTGTTTCTATATTTTACACCCTCTAGCCCCCCAGTGTGACAGTCCAATGAACCAACTGAATTTGACAGATTGTTCGATAGGTGGCTCTGTGTTTGGAAGATTTGATTATAGACTGAGCTAGAGTCATTGTATGGAGGAGTTCCGTATTGAGCATAATTGGATGTTGATGTTTGATTTAAACTGACTGGTGAGTCAAACATTGCGTTTTCTTGCAAAGAAGAATATAGTGAAGATTCTGTGGCAGCTGACAGCGTTGTTAATGTATCCATAGATACGGTTGTCAGGGGAGTCAACGTTTTGTCATCCGCATCAAATGATCCAATGTCATTTTTGTATGAAATGTCATTCAAAGATGTTGAGCTCTGTAGTGATGTTGTGCTTAGCGAGGCAGGGGAGTTATGACTGTACCATGAGTCCAGTGGTATATACTCACTCGTGGGGTTTCCTGGGTAATCCTGCCTCTGCTGTTGTTGATGTTGCTGTTGTTGTGGCCTTATAGGGTAAAGATTTTCAATGCTTGGAACTTTCGTAACTTGAGAACTTTTGTCTTTTGCTGCTACGTCTAGAATTGATAAATCCAGATGTGAAGATTCATGTGCGCTGTAGAATGACGAACTCGGGGACATGTCATGGTCCATTGAATCTGTATCCATCCGCGGTGGTGTATGAACTGCCATTGGGGCTGTCGTTAGTCCATTGAATGAACCAGTATTGGATGACACTGGTACTGTAGAATCTAAACGTGAGAACAGCTGTTCAGGAGTGTTCATTGTCTGGTCTGTGTTCCAAAGTAGTTCCGGGGATAGAGTGTCTTGTGGTTGAAGTAGCGAGTAGGTGTCGAACATGATCGAGATTACTGAGACCGGAACAGGACTTCCTAATTATTATATCTTCTTAATTACGCTATTGTCTTTCTAGTCTTCCTGAAAAAAAACAATTTTGAGTTATATATTTTTTATAACATGTTAAGTAGATCTTTACCGTTTATTGACCCATTGCGCTTAAGGAACATCGTAACCTCGTTACTATTCACCATACCATTTTTTATCCGTAGACCTTATCTCTACAGTACATGTAAATTTTCCTATCTACCGCACTTCATTTCAATCAATCTATCTTCTAATGTCCATCATTAGTAATTTCAGCCTCTATTCAATTTTATTTTATTTACGAGGTGTACATCACATTAGTGGCCGATAATGCATCAACCAAAAGCCTCATCTCTCCAATAACCCTGACTCCCATAACCACTTCCATTTCCACAAGCACACAAAAACATAAACAATTCAATTAAAGAAATCAAAAAGTACAATTTTCTGAAATAAAGCCCTCCACTTCTCATATTGTTCACCGACTAGCCCGTTATTAATCCTTATCCTTATGCAATTTTGAGACACTTGTGCATCATATGATCATTAAATTATTTTATACTGTTTTACTTACCGGCTTGATATTGTCAATTTTGTAGTGTTAAGCATTGGTTCTAGCATCCTGTGAATCCATCGTGTTAAGTTGTACTAAATGTCTCTTCGGTGGTCGCAGACTTAAATATGACAAACATAACTTTTTGGAGTTCATTCAGTTTATAACAATGGATTTAATTTGAAAATATGATGACTAATTTCCCTTAAAGAAAACTATACGCGTGTGCGGTGGTCACGTGACATAAGCACCGTTTGACA